CTCGAAAGGGCTCTTTAGTGTAACTTCCTGCAAGCATTTGAGTATTCAAGTATATCAGACTTGGTCTAGGACAAGTCGGATATGCAGTAAGCTTGAATTGCACGCAGTCCGTTGCATATCGAAAGTAAGGTGAGAAAAAAATCAATTCGTCAACGTCATTAAGTCTCATCATCCATACAGTGGTATACCCAAAGTGACGCAAGTCAAGTAGCCAACCACCCCAGACAACACAACAAAAACCACCAACGCCGACCGACAACCCTGCCCCTATTTTCTACACAGCCGGCCACAAGGCCAGCTGAAATCGCCTTCATAACGTCCCCCCCCCTTACGCCTGGGACTGAATGACTCTGAAGCCCTCCGAGACGGTCTTGGTGATCTCCTCGTTCTTGTGCTGAAGCAGCCCCAGCGCGAACGCGACGTCGTTCCACTGGCGTTCCGTCTCGCAGCGGGCGAGCCTGGCCGCGAGCTTGTCGGCCAGCTGCTTGGCGTGCTTGTCCTTCTCGACGAAGCCCAGGAGGAAACGGATGATCCTGCGGAAACTCTCCTCTTCCAGGTTCTTTTCGGCGGACAGCAAGCTGAACATGTCGACAAAGTGGTTGTAGACGGCGTTGTCCTTGGTGCTGAGTTCGGTGAAGAACATCCTTGCCAGGTCGGCGATGCGGCGGTCCTCGTCCTCGAGGCACTTGGCCATCTCACCCAGCTGACCCTTGACCTTGACCTGACCGGCGAGGATGAGGAAGGTCAGGGTCATCAGGCAAGTGCGCTTCACAGACTGGTCCTTGTCGGCCAGGCGGCGGTACAAGAAGTCCGTGTTTTCGTCGATGAGGTGGTTGAAGCACACCGCCATGTCACCAAGCGCGATGACGGCGTTGGAGCGCACCGTGGCGTCGGTCGAGCGCTCCATGATGGTGATGAGCAGCGGCAGGTTGGCCTCGCAGTACTCGGAGCTGACGCACATGAGCTTGGCGAGGCAGAGGGTGGCGGCGGCCTGCAGCCCCTTGTCGGCGTACGTCGTGTTGTTGGCGCAGATCTCCGACACCAGGGGCCCGAACTGCGCCAGCAGGGAGTTGGGGCCGAACAGGAGCTCCCGCTCACGGATGTGCGCCATGGCCTCGGTGAAGTCGTCCTCGGTCGTGCCGCCGATGAGGTCCAGGTCATCTGGCTCGTCCTTCTTGCCTGCCTGGGCCGTCGACTTGTCTGCCGTCTTTTCCTTCTCCTGGTCCTGCTTACGGCGCTTGAAGTCGAGTTCGCAGAGTTCGAGGTGCACAATTTGCTTAATGGCAACGTGGCCGACGATGAAGAGAAGCTGGGACAGACCAATGGCCGCATCGCGCTTCTTCGGCTGAGAGGCAGCAGGGGGCACGACCGTCTCATTTCCGTCCTCGTCCGCCTCCGTGGGCTGGCTCTCGTCTCGCGACACCGGCCTCGAGCTCGGCTGGGAGCTCGGCTGGGAGCTCGCTCGTGATTGGGGAGCGGAAAAGACCTGCTTGGTCTTGTGGCGGATGATGTCGGAGCAGAGGGTGTCGGGGTGCTTGGAAATGGCGTAGATGGCGTTGATGGCCTGCTCAGCAACACCGTACCACTCCTTGCTCTCGGACGGCACCTCGGTGATGGACGCCAGCTTGGACAAAACGGCGTGGTCGTTTGGCAGCCTGGAGAACTTGAGAGCAGACTCTTTTGCCTGACGGCCGGTGGGGTTGATGCGGCGAAGAGCGATGCAAGTGTACTTGGCCAGCTGGAGATCGGCACGGCCGTGGGCCCCCAAGCCGGTGCGCAGCATAGTCTCCATCTCTCCGACGACGATCTCGGGGCTCGCGGTTGCGAGCATGCCCAGGACGATGATGGCGCCGCGACGTTGCGTCCTGGAAATCTCGCGCTTTTGCACACCGTACACTTGCCAGAGCTTGGCGATGACCATGTCGGGAATCAAGCCCTGCTTCATCATGGTGCTGAGCAACTGCTCCAGCGACGTCAGCTCGGCGGGGGTGGCGCCAAAGGTCAGGCTGATCATGTTCCGGGCGATGAAGTTGGCCGCGTCGTTGGAGCTGAAGGAATCAGGCGCCTCGAAGAACAGGCGCTTGTAGACATCTATCAGGTGGCTCTGGACGCCCTTGCCCTCGTCGCTGTTGCCCTTGGTCCAGATCAAGCGCAGCATGCGGCGGATGCCGACCTTGTTCTGCTCAATGTTGTACGCGTCGCCGACCTCGAAGTAGTCCATGGCCTCGATGACTTCGCTCTTGTTGCGGGAGCCGAGCAGCTGGCAGACGGTGCCGGTGGCCTCGTGAAGGACGTCGATGAACTTCAAGGCCTCGGAGTAGTACCGCCTGGTGAGGGTGAGTTTCTCGATGGCTTCGGACGTTGCGGCCTCCTCCCGTGCCTTGCGGACGGCCTCGAACTTCTGCTCGTCGGTCATGGGCTTCTGGGGCGATTGCTCAATCTGCGTCGCTTCGTCGAGCAGCTCGTTGTCGACCGTGGTGTTGGCGGCTCCTTCGCCCAGGCCGGGGGCCCCCTCGGGGGGTTGCAACGCGTTGAGCTCCTCGTCGACCTTGTCAAGACGGGCTTGCCAGTCCTTGCGATTGAGCTGGGCGCCGTGCATGACGGTAAACGGATGGGTCTTGATCAAAGCGCCGAGGAGCTTGATGGCGTTCCTCCTGACGTGGCTGCTCTTGTCCTCGAGACTCCGGCATGCCATTTCGGCAGCGCGTTGGCGCCGCTTGGGAAACTTTTGCTCGAGGTCGCACAGCTTGACGTAGACCTGAATGGCCCTGCAGCGGCAATAGGGGTTGATGTCGAGGAAGCGCTCTTCCAGCACGTCGAAGAAGGCGTTAAGCTGGGACTTGTGGTTCTCGCCGCGCTCGTCCTGCTTGACCAGGTGGGCAATCATGTTTCCGCAAACTTCGATCAGGGAGCAGCGCAGTGTATAAGACTAGGGGGCGGGGGGTGTCAGCACAGGTTCAACCTGGAGGGGGAAGGGTACATGTTTCATTTTATTTACCTCGCTGTCGAGCTGCTTGGCGAGCATGGTCATCTGCTTGATGACCAGTCTGGGGGCGAGCTCGGAGAGCTTGACGATGAACTGGGAGACGGACTTGGGTCCCTTTGTGTCGTTTGAGTTGAACTCCTTGTTACTGAGCTCGCGCAGGATCTCGTCGGCCAGCTGGGGGTAGTCGTAGGTCTCTGCCAGAATGTGGAGGAACTCGGCCATGGGCTCGGAAAGGTGCTCAAAGTAGGTCAAGTTCTGGACAATGGAAATCTGGGCAGCTATGGGAGGGGGAGTCAGTTCATGGGCAGGGCAGGGCAGGGCGGGGCGGGACATCGCAGGAGCTTACCATAGGCGTGGCCGTGATGCTTGACGGCGATGCAGAGGACCTTGAAGGCGTGCATGCGGATGGATGTGCTCTTGACGCGCTGCTCGCTCTCGAGAATCATGTAGACGGGGCGGGTCAGGAGGCCGATGAAGGTGTCTCTTTCCGAGGTGGTGAGGAAGATCTTGGTGAGCTTCAGCTTGAGGACCTTGCTCATGATGTCGAGGGCGGACTGCAGCTGGGTTGCCGAGTCCCAGACGCCGTCCTGCTTGGGGGCGTTCTTCTTAGGCTTCCCGCGGCCCCTGGCGACGGGGGCGGTTGACGACTTCTCGGCGGCCTTGGTCTCGACGGCGGCGATGGTCCATTGCAGGAGGAAGCCGTAGATCTCGAGGAGCTGCTTGTGGTGGGCGAGGGTCTCCTGTTCGTCGGGGGACTCGAGGTCGTGGTTTATGGCATCGCCCTCGGCGGCGAGGCCGGACATGACAAGGTCGAAGATCTTGCTGAGGGCGTGGGTCGGCAGAAAGGCAGTGTACCTGGAAGGGTGGAAAAGTTCAGAATTATGTTCTCGCGAGGGTTTGTGTTTGCGGTCACGATCACGATCAGGGTCAGGGTCAGGGTCAGGGTCCAAGGGTGGCCTGGAGGGGAGAAAAGAAAAGGAAGGGGAGGGGTCTGAAGGATGAGGGGAGACGGGTGCGCACTTTAGGAGGAATTGCAGCGAGTCGAGATGGGCACTGCGGGTGATGGCCTCGGGGTTTTCGGCGACGGCGTCGACGATGGGGTTGAGGACGGGGTTGACGACGGCGACGGTCAGACCCTCGGGGTCGTTTTCGTAGTCGAAGAGGGAGCCATCGGCTTCGGGAGTGGGGATGCTGGCGGGATCGCTCATGTAATGCTTGAGAGCATCGTTGATGTCGAAGGCGACCGAGTCCATGGCTGCGGTCTGGCTGAGGTGTGCGCACCCAACGTCGAGAAGCGATGGAGAAGCGATAGAGGGCGGGGGTTATGGAGAGGGGGAGGGGGAGGAAGAAGAATGAACAAGAAGTAGGACCAAAGACGGTCAGGTCGATCAGGATGCAGCGGAGAGGGACCCGGTGTGCGTCCGAGTAATCCGAGCTGGTGCGGTGGGATATAGCCGCCGTGCTTCAGCTGCTGTTTCTGCCTCTCAGTGTCTGTCTGTCTGTCTGTGCGGTGGTGGTTAGTCAGGCGATGGATGCGCCGCGCCGGGGAGGAGCAACGGAAGGAGAAGGAAGAGAGACAGAATAAATGACAAAAACCGCAAAGGGTGGGAGAGAAAGCGCAAACAGCGACCGTGTATGTGTGTGATGGCGACGACGTCGAGGTTTGGTTTGGGGGTTACCACATACGGACATGAAGATTGGGAAAAGCGCCTAGCAACGGATGGTGGGATTTTTGTTTATTGTTTTCTTTCGGGCCTTTTTGGACGCGACGTCGTCAATTAACGGAGGTGCGGGGTCGTTTCTCCAAGATGTGATTGGTCAGCATGCGGTCTTGGCTGGCTTGTTTACACTTCCTACTCACCTAGGTGTAGTATGTGTACTGTGTACTCACGTGGTAGTACTAGGGATACCTAAGTACCTTCAGTACTAAGGCATGTAAGGATGTACATCGTATGAAGCTCGGCTAGCCTCTCTTCAGGGACCATCACACAGCAAAACGGCGCTGCCCCTCCATCGGGTCTGAAGCCCGAAGGCACCTCGAGGTACTGTTGAGGTAGCTTTACCCATCATATCAAAACAGCTACGAGCCCGCTCGGAAAACGCGACACTTGGAAAAAATCAAATAAAAACTGTCTTGACTGGGATGAAAACAACGGCAGAAAACCAAATAAGAATAAGGGAAAAAGCAACCCCTCCGCCTCCTCCTCGTCGAAGAACACACCAATCAAGACCACTGACTAGTCGATCAATTGACTGACTGACTGGCTGGTCACAACTCGACTCTCATTCGCACTATCTGCTGTCACTCCCCTCCCCGGGCATACGACACGCCGATGAACAAGTCTTCCTCGTTTGCGCGTTGGGCTTACACGAACAATTGAAACACCACTACGGAACATATATACACTAGGTACACGACCTGCAGTACATCCATCCATACTCTTCCTGCCCCCCGCATACCCGCCGCCTCGGATGACGCAGTGTCCCTCCAAGCGAGACTCCTCAGCTGGCTTTGGTCAACCCAACTTGGAAGCCATCGATCAATTGACTCGTTTCGGCCAAGGCCTCGACGTCCAGGCCTGGCACCGACACGATTGGGCGACGCCAACGCCAACGCCAACGCCAACGCCAAAATCGGCGCCGACGCCACCAACAACAACAACACGCAACCAACAAGCACAACACACAGCAGCACATTCACCACCACCGCAATCACAACCACAATCACAGCCACAGCCTCAACCACAACCACAATCACAACCAAAACCTGCCACTCTACAACAACGGCAACAACAACAACAACAACAACAACCGCCACCCCGTGTCTCAGGCATTGTCTCGAATAGCCGCCTTCCTCCATCTCCCTCCCATGCCCCAGCAGACGCATCAACCGCTCCCGCAGACCTGCGATTGGCCCACCGCCCATTGACCGCCGAGTCTCGACCTCCATCTCGCTCCATGGCAATGGCCACGGCCACACGCAGACGAAGCCGCGAGGCTTTTGAAATACACCAGGATCCCCCCCACGCCCGCACCGAAGACACCGAGATGATGGCCGACTCCGAGCAGCACACCGAAGAGGTCGACGAGCAAGAGGAACCCGATGACGACGTCGAGAACGACCCCTCGGATGACACTTCGGACGACGACGACGTTGTCGACTCGGGCGTCCAGCGTGACATGGACCGTCTGCAAGACACCTTTCCCGGCTTCCGTCAAAAGTACCGTCTGATCAAGCGCATCGGCGAAGGTAATCCATCTTCCTATCCCCTCCCCTCCCCTCCCCTCCCCTCCGTTTCACTCATGCTGACCGAGCTACGCTCACAAGGGACCTTTTCCACCGTCTACAAGGCCGAAGACCTACAGTACGATCGCTACGACAACGACTGGGACATTGAAGAGAAGGACAATCCCGCCCCGAAGTGGACGCCGCCTCCTCTGAAGCGCCATGGAAGCCACACGTCGGCTTCTCGCGAACCTCGCCGGCGCGCCCGTTACGTTGCCATCAAAAAGATCTACGTCACCTCGTCTCCCACCCGCATCCTGAACGAGCTCGAGCTGCTACACGACTTGAGGAACTGCGCTGCCGTCTGTCCCCTCATCACCGCCTTCCGCTCCACCGACCAGGTCATTGCCATCCTTCCCTACTTCCGCCACGAGGACTTCCGCGACTACTTCCGCCAGATGAAGGTCTCGGACATGGCCATCTACCTCCGCAGCCTCTTCACCGCCCTCAAGGCAGTCCACGAGCACAAGATTCTGCACCGCGACATCAAGCCCACCAACTTCCTCTACGACCCCCAGTCACGCCGCGGCGTCCTCGTCGACTTTGGTCTCGCCGAGCGCGAGGGCTCCGACGGCAAACCCTGCCTGTGCCGCGAGAGCAGAGAGATCCGCAAGCAGAGGATCGCCACCAGCGCGGCATCCCAGAACGGGCCCCAGCAGGGCTATCCCAAGACCGACACCCGCCCCTCGAGGAGGGCGAACCGTGCCGGCACTCGCGGCTTCCGCGCCCCCGAGGTGCTCTTCAAGTGCACCGAGCAGACGACAAAGATCGACATCTGGTCCGCCGGCGTCATTCTCCTGACCATCATGAGCAAGCGCTTTCCCTTCTTCAACAGCGCCGACGACGTCGAGGCCATGATTGAGATAGCCACCATCTTTGGCGTCAAGCGCATGAGGCAGGCCGGCCTGCTGCACGGCTGCATGTTTGAGACTAATATTCCCACCGTGGGCAACGCCGGCTTCTCCCTGGGCAAAATCATTCTCTGGTCCACCTGTCGCACCGACGGCGGCAAGGACGGCCAGCCCGGCATCCCCCTGACCGACGAGGAGTTACTGGCCGTCGACTTTTTGGAGCGCTGCATGGAGCTCGATCCCACCCGACGCATCAGTGCCAAGGAAGCGCTGGAGCACGACTTCCTCAAGGACCCCCAACCCAGGCAGTCGGTCGAGGTTTTCGAGGAGGATGTCGTGGAAGAAGATGATGAGATGGATTTGCTAGAGGCGGAATGATAACGTTTTGGATCCCAACATGATGCGTGCGTCCTACATAACTAGACTGCAGTGAGCCGTGCAGGCATGCACGTGTACGATTAGACGAGGCACAAGGGCACACATGGGAGGCTCAGAGACTTTTTTTGGACGCGAAAAACAGCGGAAGCAGCATGCGCCGAGCAGGCAACGCCCGGCATGGCGTTGGGTATATCAAAAAGCCGAGACCCGAGGGAACAGAGGCGTACATATACACCACAGCGTATATAGACACATGAGAAAAGCGTCGAGACAAGAACAAGTCAATGTAGAAAAGTAATACGATTCAACCCGTTCCTATCCGTGCTGCCTTTCTGTTTTTTCATGTCCCAGAGACGCCACTAAAACACGTGAGACCCAACCCCACCACAGCAGTGATGTGATGATGCGAAGACGCCAAGATTCATCGAATTTGAAGAGCCTTTTTTTCTTTTTTGTATTCGGTTCAAGTTCCCCTGGGAAATTCTGGTCTTCATGCTATGTGAAAAGCCGGTCCACACCCCATTTTGGGAGGGTGTCTTATTTTTCCCCGTGTCCTTTTTCTCGCCTACGCGCAAGATTGGCGTCGAGCTCTGGCGGTACGCCGACCGCTGATCCCGCGACCGCATGGACAAATCATTCCCAGGACTTGCTTCACCTTTGTCGTGTTGCTGATGCGCGGAACCCTCCGTGATGGCGTTAACCGGATTTACGCGACGAGCTCAACGACACCACCGGCCTCGGTGATCTTCTTCTCAGCCTGGGGACGGGGGTTATTAGCGGGGAAACGGTATTGAGGGAAACACGATCCAGGTACTGACCAGCTTGGAAACCCAGCGGGCCTTGACGACGATGGGAACCTCGGGGAGACGGCCCTTGCCGAGGAGCTTGGAGTAGCCGAAGGGGAGGAGGTCGATGACGGGGACCTTGTCGCCCTTGCCGGCGAGGTACTCCTCACGCTTCTCAGCGGGGACGAGAGTCCAGAGCTTGTCGAGGTTGAGGACAGGCTTCCAGAAGTGGCTGCCGATGGTTAGTACGCGGCGGGAGCCCGATGGAGGACCATCTGGTCGGGGAGTACGTACTTCTGCTGCTTGTGGAAGTAGCGCATACCGACCTTACCGAAGTAACCTGTGAAACTGGTCAGCCATCGGGATTCAACTTTGTCGTGCAAAGGGGAACGAGGGACATACCAGGGTGGTACTTGTCGAGGTTGGTGCGGTGGTGGTGCTGACCACCGGCCAGACCACGACCACCGGGGTGCTTGCGGTGCTTGCCAACACGTCCGTGACCGGCGGAGACGTGTCCGCGGCTGGAGAGAGAAGAGAAAGTCAGCTTCCGGGTACATTTGGAAACGAAGACATTTCTCCCAGGATCGCAGACGGCAGAGTTGGCGGTACCCATCCCATTGTCGCGTATGCCCTCTCGAGCATCCACGACCATGTTTGGGATGGTGTCCCTCCTTTTTACTGGAGGAGCAATGTTGACGCCCTTGTTTTCAACATGCTCAACTCCCTCTGCCGCCGCGCCTGCATCACAACAATATTCCTTTTCTTGCCTCCTCTTTCTCGAGGTTCCATGTCCTCAGCGACGAACGGACAACGACGACGACGACTTGGTCGCCCCCAGCTTCGTATCGGATCGACTGGGCGAGCGCGCGCGCGTGCGGCGCCGTCGCCGCCGCCGCGAGGACGTGGACCTGACTGGACTATTGCATCGGAGCGGGACGGGAAGATGATGAGACGTACTGCTTGCGGGTGCGCGAGAATCGGGTAGGCATGGCGACGGCTGTTGGGGTGGTCGACTTGGGGTTAGTATCGCTGAGGAAACTTCTCTTCGGAAAAGTTCGCGGGACAAAAAGAATTTGTGAGGGTCGTTCTGCGCCCCGGCGTAGCTTCGGGAAACCCGCTAAGCGGGTGGAGGGCAAGCCCTACATGGCCCGTGCTCTCGCTCTCCAGATTTTCGATACCAATTTTCAGCCTTATGTAATCACATTCGGCCTCCATGTCACCGAGCTCACCGACTCCCCGGACCGTGCGTCTCCCAGACCGAGGTCGCCGGCCTTGTTGTGCTCCAACGTTCTGCTGAGTGCCGTCACCCCTGGCGATCCCGCCCCCACCCACCGGCTTAAGCCCATGTTGATATCAAACAAACTCACGATCGATGTCCCTACGACTGAGCATTGAGCCTTCCTCTGCCTCGGCCGCTTGACCCCCGCTTCCAATTTTGGTTTGCATCCCTCAACATGGCTGATCATGTTATTGGGGATACGGAATTGTCTGTGCCGGATGGCATTGACTTCAACCACCCTTACACGCCCTATGACGTGCAGACTGATTTCATGAGAGCCGCTTACGGCGTGCTGCAACGCGGCAATGGACAAGTCGGCATCCTCGAGAGTCCGACAGGCACGGTACGAGCCGACGGCACAACCGAATTGCAGCCACATCTCATGCTGACTTTTGTCCAGGGCAAATCCCTCTCCCTGATATGCGCCTCGTTGACGTGGCTTCGGAACCAGCGTGTCGAGGAACACGAGGCGTCTCTCAAAGTCAACATGGACGACTTCAAGGATGAGCCGGGTTGGATTGTGGAGCAGATGCTGCGCCGCAAGAGAGAGGAGCTGGCCCGGACTTGGGAGGAGCGAGAGAAGAAACTGGAGCAGATCCGTCAGAAGGAGAAGGCCGTCGAGGCTCGCAGCGCCAAGCGACGTCGTTTCGACGAGGGGCCTTCTGGGCCGAAGCTGCGTGGTGCCGACCAGGACGATGATGAGTGGCTTCTAGATGAAGCAGATGCATCTGGCCCAACCGACGGAGACGCCATGAGCGGCCTCAGCAAGGAGACCAAAGATATCCTGACGAGGTTTGGTCTGGGGAGCCTCAAAGCGGAGCAAGAGGAGGACAGAATCGCCGACGGAATCAAGGTGCGCAGCGCCCCTGTTCCTGCCGGGCACGTTCGTAACATGATTCCCACCAGATATACTATACGTCGAGGACGCACTCTCAACTTACACAATTTATCCATGAACTGCGACGGCCCACATTCCCATCGTCCATACCGCCATCCGTCGTGCAAGGCCAAAGTAAAGGCGAGCATGCCGCCAAAGAGCCGGTCAAACACCTTCCCCTGTCGTCACGCCAAAAGCTCTGCATCAACCCGTCCGTGGCACGTCTGGGCACTCTCTCTGCCATCAACGACCGGTGCTCGGAGCTCCAGAAACCGAAATCCAAGGACAAGTGCCCTTACACGCTGAAAGAAGACAACGTATCCCAGACGCATCAGTTCAGGGACACTGCCCACGCCACGCTGCCCGATATCGAGGACCTCTATCATCTCGGCAAGAAGCTGTCGGTTTGCCCGTACTATGCCTCGCGAGCCGCGGTCGCGGGCGCCGAGATCATCACTCTGCCCTACCCCTTGCTTCTGCAGAAGAACGCGCGAGATGCCCTCGGCATCAAGCTGGAGGGCAACGTCGTCATCGTCGACGAGGCTCACAACATCATGGACGCGGTGGCCAACGTGTATGCGTCCGAGATAAAGCTGAGCGAGCTGAAACAGGCGCGGCAGATGCTCGGCGTCTACGTGAGGAGATTCGGCAAAAAGCTCAAGGGAGAGAACCGCGTCATGGTCGGACAGGTGGGCCGGGTCATCGAGGGCCTCAGTGAGTGGATGGATGGACAATCGAAGCTCAAGGTATGCTGCTGCTCCTGCTGCTGCTGCTGCTGCTGCTCCTCTTCTCTGCATTTCGTCGCTGACCATATCGCAGAGTACTCAAGGCATCGTGGACTCCAAAGTTCTCCTCCGCTGCAAAGGCGTGGACCAGATCAACCTGTTTAGGTTGGTTCAGTATATCCAAGAGTCGAAGCTGGCCTACAAGATCGAGAGCTACGTTGCGCACGTCGAAGAGGAAGCGGCTGGCGCCAGCCATGGCAAGCCGTCTTCGAGATCATCCGCGCCCGTTCTCCATACTCTTTCTTCATTTCTCATCTCTCTCACCAATCTCAGTTCCGAGGGTCGGATATTCTACGAAAAGCTGGCAACCGACCCGCCGGATATACAGCTCTCGTACCTTCTGCTATCCCCGACTCACGCCTTCTCGTCCATCGCTACGAGTGCCAGGGCCGTTATTCTCGCAGGCGGCACCATGTCTCCGTTCAACGACTACAAGTCGCATCTTTTCCCGTACCTGCCGGAATCCAAGCTCACGACACTCAGCTGCGGTCACGTTATCCCACCGTCAAACTTGTGCGTGTGGACATTGGCAGGGCCGGAACCGGGTCCCAACCGGGACATTAATTCAACTTTCGAGTTCAGCTTCCAACGAAGGGGCGAAGCGTCAACCAAGAGCAACCTGGGAATGGCCATCCTGAACATGTGCAATGTTGTCCCCGACGGCGTGGTCGTGTTTTTCCCTAGCTACGGATACTTGGAGGAGGTAGTTACTGCATGGAAAGGTGTTGGGCCGCCGCGGAACAGCCAGGTTCAGAACGGCGCCACCTCGATTTGGGACCGTTTGCAGCAGAGAAAGGCGGTTTTCAGCGAGACTCGCGGCGGCTCCAGTGACGAGGTGTTGGAAGCGTACAGTCGGGCCATATTGGGCGACGGCAGCGAGCCGAACTCGGGAGCGGCAGCTAAGCGTCGTGGTGCTCTGCTTCTAAGCGTCGTCGGCGGTAAGATGAGCGAGGGCATCAACTTCTCGGACCGGTTGGGTCGCTGTGTCATCATCGTGGGCCTACCGTACCCCAACATCAACTCTCCCGAGTGGAAGGCCAAGACGGAATACATCGAGACCACCACCGTCCAGCGACTGACGGACCCTTTGGGGACCGCGAAGATGCCGAGAGAAGAGGCGGCGGCGGTCGCGAAACAGGCGGCCAGGGACTTTTACGAGAACGCGTGCATGAGGGCGGTAAACCAGAGTATCGGCCGAGCCATCCGGCACCAGGGAGACTATGCGGCCATCGTGCTCGTAGATCGCAGATATGGCACAGACAGGATCCGAGAGAAGCTCCCGGGTTGGATTCGCGGGGGTCTAAACGGCGAGAGCCACGAAAAGGGGCTGCCTCAACTGATGGGAGCGTTGAGTGGCTTCTTCCGGTCGAAGCGGATGGGTGCGTCGTGATTTGTAGAAGGCCGGCGAGGCATTGTGGACCCTTTTTTTTTATATTTTATTCTCACGAAATCTGCATTTCCCGTCAGTCATCGGGATCGCGGGGCAATCATCGAGATGGTCTGCGGGCGATTCGTTGGTGCCGGCATCTGGCTCTGCGGTCCCAGCTAACTCCATCGACACGACCAAACAATGCGGAGACGCCAACAATCTAACGAGCAACGGCATCTGTAGCGTACCACGGAAACTGTGAAGACGTTATCGTAGCTGCCATGAAGCAAGGGCTTTGAAGAGTTTGCTGGGCATCAGAAAGTATAGCCATCTGAAACGCTCTGTCCGTGTAATTTTTTTCTTTCTGAAAGAGGTGAAAGGCAGAAAAACAAGAGCAAGTCAAGTCACGTCAAGAGAAAAAGAAGAGTACGGATAGGCAGGGTAGTGTAGAAATTATACATAGAACCTTACGCGACAATCCACAGCTCCTTGATCCCTTGGCCGTAGGTCGGTTGGGTATCATTGGGCCGTGAACGGCAATAAGCGAGACGTATTCAGCTTGCCCTTCCGGCCGAGCGCAAAGCTGCAAATCAGGGATTCGACTGTGAATCGTTGAAAGTCTCCAGACCCCTAGAAAGGTTGTGTTGTTCGCTACACCGACTCCTTTGTTGGGTGGCGCCATTATCATCCCACAGCACCTGTCCCGGGTCTTTTGGAAGCTTGGATGGGGTCCGGGGGGGCGATGACAAGTCTCTGAAGCCAAGAGAGGAGGGATGGATATCGATAGAGAACTAGTGTGCAGGGGTTCTCAGGGCGTACGAAGCTACGAGAATCTTATTATCCTTGACTCCTCGAGAGATGACGGTGGATGCATCCATCTGCCCTCATATCGGTGAGACCCTGAAAAATCAGAAAAAAGCTTACACCATAGTGACCAAGGCGATCGGATTGCATGCCGGATTCGTTGATAGGACGTTCACGATGAAGCCTTACGCGTGCAGAAGTGAAACTGGTTGAGTAGACAGTGGGGATACCACTCGCATCCAGCACTGGCTACATTGCAGTCGAACCGCACCTGTTAATCGGGTTCTTGAGTGACTTGGCTCCGTTAGGATCAAACCCCAAATCGGCGTCGTCCGAAGTTCGGAACACCCACCGGCACGGGTACCCCTCTGATGACCGACGGAGGCGGGCGAAGATAAGAAAGCCACAGAATCACAGAGACGACAGCCGCCAATCACACGTCGGGAATAGAACGGAGGCCGTCCCAGCCAATACGGGACGAACGGAGGGCAATCCGCCAATGGAAGTAACTCCTCAGGCGAGGTTGCCCCTTTCTCCTCGTCGTCCCGTCTCAGTAGTGATAGTAGTAGTAGCAGTAGTAGTAGTAGTAGTAGTAGTAGTAGTAGTGATTTTTCCATCAACCATAGACAACACCAATGAATCCCTTTCTACATGACATGGCAGTTTGTTGTCTCGGAACCAGGCAAAACGACCGAAACGCCACAAGCACCCTCCCCTCTATTGGCGAAACAAACACGTTTGTGTTGGGGAAAAACCTGCTGCTTAGCCCCCCCGGTGGCGTGGCGGGCATCACTTCCAGCTACCCTTGGTAGGCCACCTTCGTCGTGATCGCATTCGCTTTTGACCATCGTATATCGATCGACTTTGCTGGGACGTCCTCCTCGTTCCCGCGGTGTCCCCATGTTGACGGCGTTGAATAGATAATTATACGTTAATCTTCGAACCGGTACTGACACAGAACCCCGCTCTCTCTCTCTCTCTCTCTCTCCATCGCCCCAAGCTTGTTCCAACTCTGTCCTCGTTCCTTTCTCTTCTGCTGTTTCCTTCGATGAGTGAGTGCACTTGTCCCTGCTCCTCTCTTCAGCCGTGGTTTTTGCTTTTTGTTTGTTGTTGTGTAACTATGACCTACTGCCCAGACACAGCCCACGCAAGTTGCGCGCCCTTTGGCATCTGCGAGTAGAGAGAAACCGGGGGTTGAGAAAGTATCTGGACATGCCAGCGCACATCCCATGTCCCACTGCCCTTCTATAACCGAATTCCCAAATATAACCATCTTCCATCGCGCGTGACATGAACATACTAACTAGTTACTAACTACTGTTACGAAACCGACCGGCCTTCCGATGCATCCGACATACAGCCCCGAGAACCCGAATCAACATCACGGCCGAGAAACGAAAACAAGATAATACCAAGAGGAGCTTTGGAAGACGCCCGTATCCCTGGAAGTGCCGGTGGCCGCAACCTGTTGCCGTCTTCCCTAGTGCCTTGTCGCTGAACCGAGCATTGAGCGAACCCTCCTGAGCATTGCTGCGGTTCACGCCCCCTTCGGCCGAGCCCCGACGAGTTGCCCTGTGAATCACTTGGGAGGGTGGTAGCCGGACGCAAGAGAAGCATACTGGCGTGTCCATCCGCGACTGGCGTAATGTAACGTGTTGACCCCGGAACAAAAGACGCGAACGGTCACTAACCACGAGCACACGAGACAATCTTTGCCGCAGCGTTTCGGTCTAGTTTCCATTCTATTGAAAATGTGAATATAACTTTTCCTGCCCCCGTCACCACCTCCTAAACCCCGAAGATACCCATGCCTCCCTCTCCCCCACTGATCGAAAAGCATCCCCAGTAACCTCGAGCTCCATCACAGGCCACCGTGTGTGTACTTTCTGTGCCGACCTTGACAAAGTGACCTCTGGAAACCGACGTTGTCAAGTCGGCCTTGATTCTGTAATCCTCCGCTGATAGCGCGCTCTTGGCCCCCCCCCCCTCCCCTTTGCTGAACCAAAAACGTGTTCGACTCCGAGGCGTTCACACCGAATCCCTCGCCTCCGGTTGCCAGCGTCTTAAACATCGCCGTCGGAATTGAGAGCCTCGCTCGAGATCTCCGGCGCCTCCCTCCCCGACGTTATCACCGTGAACTCGTTGAGGATTGCGAGCTCCTCGAACTCGGCCGCGAGACTCTCGACGTGTGCTGCCGTCGGGTTCATCGTCGCGAGGTCGAGGTCGACGACGAATGGCGCCTGCACTTCGTCCGAGCCCCGGTGGTGCTTCGCGTTCTCGTTCGAGTCTTTGATGATCGCCCTCGCCTCCGAAGACGTCAACAGGCCTTGCCGCAGCGCCATCGACAGCAGGCTTCGGACGATTCCCTGCGACAGCCGGAACGGCCTGTGCAGCCTCTGGTAGCCCAGGAAACAGGCGCGCAAGTCGGCCAGCTTCTCCGAGCTTTCGCTGACCTGCGCCAGTTCTCGGAGGGCGGCGTTTGCAAAGTAAAGGAGCGCAGTGCTCCAGAGGAAGCTGTGGGACGCGGAACTGCACTTCTGGAGGTAAGTGATGGTGATCTGGCCCAATTGAGCAGTTGAAGCGAGGCAGATGGCCTCTGGGGACGCCTGCTGGGAAGTAAAGGACTCGAGTCGGACCCGCATCGCGTCGCCATACTGAACCAAAGGGCGGAATAGATCGAGCACAAATGCGTGCAAGTAGATGCTGTTTTTGACCCTGCATTAGCCTGTGTTCTTGTCGACAGCCGGGCTTCCTCCCCACGGCGCATGGCATTCTTGCGACAAGGTAGGCTACTTACTGCAAAAGCAGAACGTGATGCGAGCTGTCTCCGCTTCTCACCATTTCCAGCGGCAGGTTGTCGGCCCATTGCAGATACCGTCTGTACAGCACCTCCATGTACTTGACCATGCTGTGGCCCCCGACTGCCAAAGTGTTGCCATAGTTCATCCATATCATCTCGTGGGCAATCAGGGCCAGTTTACATACGTGTGGAAATGCAGTCCCCATGTAGGCTGGGAAGTGCGGTCCGCCGGGAGACTTTACGTCTTCGGAATCGTCTTCGTCCCCCGGAATCGGCATCCTCGGCGGGTAGGCTATCTTGCATGTCTGGTTTTGCGCGCATCGTGTTCTTCGTAGTCATCACGTCAGCTACCAAGAAGTAGAGCCAAGGAGAGGGGAGGGGGATACGGTATCATCTCTTGGTATCCCCGGGCACCGCAGAGCGGATTTCCTGCAATGCTTTGGACGAATCGAAGAACGTACGTGATGTAGACGAAACCTCCCCAGGCCGTTTGTGCGAGAGATTTCTCCCAGAGAACATCAGAAGCGCCGTCTGGCCACCTCACAGACATAGCCTCGTCTGCAATGCCAAATAATCCTATGCCTTTGGCAAGGTCGATGGCGCGGTCCAAATATCCGGCAGCGTCGGTGGCGCTTCTCGCGTGGCAGGTTGACGACATGCTCAAGTAGAGCAAAGCAGCCACCGTATTGGGAGTCGCCAATCCCATCGCCGTCTCGTGCTCCAAAAGCATTCCCGCCTCGTCGTAGAAGGCATGACTCCAACTCGTCGCCTCCAACTCATACGCCGTGTAAGCCTGCTGTAACCCGCGGTTACGACACGTTAGTCATTTGCGTCTCTCGAGCAGAGAAATTCCATCTCACACAAGCCCAGCTGAGTAAGGAGCTAACGAGGAGCCTGGAGCAGAACCGGGTTCCGCTAGAGACCAGGTCGTTGAGGAAGAGATCGACGTCGAATAGCGCCGTGATTGCATGATCGGTTTCGAGGTATAGAGAAAGGGTTCTCCTGGCTGCCACGATGGGAATCTTTACCCCCGTCCATGCTAGGATGTCCGCATTGAGCAGCCTCTCGTCGCAAAGAGGCGGAAAGTCTGCTGAAGAGGCCTCCCTGCCGCCCGGCTTGCTTTGGGAATTGAAGTTGAGACTGACGCTACTGTCTCTGGAATCCGCCGCCGGCATGATACGAGTCTTGCCTGCGCCTGAAGGCGACTCTATATCCGTAGGGGGGAGAGGCGACGGGGTGTCGGTTGACATTGGCGAACGCCTAGACGGTCACGGTTAAATTCAGTCTCCCGGAACAAGCTTGGATCACGACAACAACCTTGATCATGACCAGGAGCCACCACTAGATGGCTTGGCGGCAAATCATTGGTTTTTTTTTTTTTTTTAATATAAAAAAACGCTTCTTTTCAACAAAACCAACTTACGCCGCAGAAGGTGAATCGAACACGACGCTTGGAGCGATCCTCAAGGTCAAGTCGAAATCCATATTTTGTGGAAGTTCAGTAGGAGCCCAGGGTGAATAGGCAATGGCGTGACGCACCATCAACTCGAACTCGAGGGAAGTCTGGCTAGGAGGAGAAACTGCGTGAAGGAGCCCGTGAAAGGGAACGTCATGGGCGGAATGTAGTTGTCCCCGGAGGGTGTTGACGATGTTTCCAACATCTCGTCCTGCCCGCAATTGCTGAAGGACGTCCCGGGCCTCGTCATCGGGCACAGAACGAAGGAGGTCGAGTAGCTCAGCCGAATATTTCTGGTTCTTTGCCGTGGTCTCGTCAAGTAGTTTCATGCCCGGAGGAATAGAATTCAGGACCGCCTTGGAGATGGTAGCATATTCGCAGACAAGGCCGCGGCGTTTGCAGTGGCTGCAGGGCTGCAGGCCATTGCACTGAGATAGAGTCAGTACCACGAAAGAGGAAGAGCAGAAAGCAACAAAGAAGATGTTGCCTCGTGTAAAGCAGCGGACGTCTTTTTTAGCGGCCTGTATACCCTCCAGCTACCATCCGTGAAGGCTCTCTTAAGTATGTCCACGGAGGATTGGTAAATAGAGTTGCCGGAGGCAAATGTTGAAACCTCAACCCACAACCAACAAACGCACCATGGCAAAAGACTCGGGTTCTAAGAGCAAAAGTTGAGGCACGAGAACATACCCCTATCTTCTTCTCGCGGCAGCTGTTGCATGCTTTAGTAGTCGCCCGGCGCTTTCGCTTGGAGCCCTCTTGACCGCCAGAGCCCCCGAAGGCAGCCTCACCATTGTCGTCGGCGAAATATGTCGTGGAAGTAGTCGGAGGACCTGGAAGGATGTTTCTGTACTTGCGTTCTGGTTGCATGGGCTGCTGAGGTTCGAGATGGGAGCGTCTCGAGGCCGGGAAGGTGTTGTAAACTTGCCGGCGGATCGATCGAGGGAGTAATAAGGGAAGTTGACAAGGGTAGGAGAAAACGACTTCATACTAGAAGTCCGTGATCTACCGATGGTACTTATCTGCAATAGTGTGTGTGAAGGCGTCAGATACGGAAGCGCAACAATGGGAAGAGCTTCAACCGCCGAGACTCTCAGTACGAATACCGCCTCACGCTATACACCGGGTCTGTAAAATAAGTGGAGGGTGAAGGCATTGTGCTGTGTTGGTGGCAGCAAGGGGGACCAAGCGGACACAAGTACCTGAGCACCAGTTTCTCTTGCTGATGGCGGCCTGACGCGGTACTCGAGAATGTCCCACACTGTGTTCCTTAGCTGCGTCCGCAAAGTTCCCACAATGGGTTTAGATGACATGCATGTGCGCCTTTGCCTCGCTTCGATACACATACAGGGTGGTAGGGGAAAGTTTTATGGCCCTAGTGATGTAAATCGCCACACAGTTTCTAAGCATTCTTATAGAAATCTAGGTATAGTGGTGGTGATAGGTAAATGCGTAATAGCTAGATAACGTTGACAGCTAGCGGACTGGAGGGGGGGGGGGGGGTATTTGACAGGGGCGATAAAACTTCTGCCTGGTACCATAGTATGTTGGACGTAAGAATACGGTTAGCAGCGGTAAACGTCTTTTCCTCCCTCGAAATATGGCAGGGTCTGTGGCATGGCTTTCACATAGGCTTCTCAACTAGCCTTTCCGGGGACAGCTTGTCGAGGCAGGTTTCCCAACCTCCCAGGATCGCGCCCTGGCGGCGGCAGCTGGTCGACTTGCATATAGAAAAGCACGAGGTTTTCATCGAGAAAACGAATATCGTCCATGATATTTGACATTCGTTACAGGAAAGATGGACGGTCGTGCTTGGGCCACGTTATCATCTTTTTGATAGTGCAGGGTCAGTCTTCACCCTACGCAAAACCGCGAGAGTCCCAGGCGACTTGTGACAGATGGCCAGGTTTACGACGCGTTACTCGCCTCACCACCCCTGAGGAGTCAGGGAGACAGACCACAGCATAAATAGAGCACTCCAGACGTCGGGCTTCCCGCTCGGCTTTGTCGGTCATTGGTTATAACTTATGTGTTTCTTGGAGTGGCAAAGTAGGACGGCCAACATACGGAATCGGCCAGGATTTGCCTGCGGCAAGCAGGGGCGAGCTTTGAACAGTAGTCGATCTGGATTTCCCTCGTCTCAGATGACGAGTGGATTTCGGGATGACTGCAAAGTACACGTTTTCTCCCCAAGGACCTGGGTGCCAGCTAAGGACAGTTCTGTGTTTCAATGCACCTCGAGGGACCCGCAAGCCAATTGGTATTCCGCAAGAGCAGCATACTCTCCACAACGTCCTTGTTGCCAGGGCCAAAGCGCAACGCGGATACAAGACCTCGAGGGCTTTAGTGAAATTTCGACATACTTAGGACGCGGGACTACCGTGGTCCCTGAAAGTGAGAAAATGTGAGCGTCGAGTCCGAGGTAATTTACGTCATTTGCCTCAATGCCAAACTTTCCTTACGGCCGGGGATGCTACAAAGAGGGCGGAGGACGAGCCAGGGCCAAATCGGAGGGGGCAAAGAACAAAAAAAAAAAAAAAAAGAAGAAGAAGAAGGAGAACACGAACAGACATGGAAAAGGGGCAAGGGGATTGAAGTGAATGACCTTGAAGAGGATTGGTTATCACAAGGATAGCCAAGTGGCTCGGGGTGACAGGCGTCATCGTCGAAGGAAGCAACAGCAGGCGAACTTTGAGGAAAGGTTTGGGGGGGTTTTCAATCCCCCCTCGCAAAGATCCTCCCGCTTCTCCAGTCTAAAAGTACGTGTATATTAGCGGACGGGGAAACACCCTCAAACGGTGTAGTCATTCAACATGATTGGATCACTGAAGTCACTCAGTGCTCGGGGGAGAGTCCGGCTCCATACCGTAGCTGATTGGCTGTAGGGGGATCTCGGATCTCGGAGCTGGGAGTCTCTTTGTTCCGCGATTACATCATCAGCATTGAACCCCCCCCCCCCCCATGATGACTAAGCAATACTTACACCGTATCCAACAGATTTGCATATCGCACAGACCACCCACGAGGCTTATCTTGGAAGGCGGTCAGCCAGCCTAGCCAGCCACTCACTCACCTAACCCTAACCCTTGCTACCTACCTTGCTGCTGACGTTGACTAACCCCTGCATTTGCCGCTTCTGAATCCCTATTTCTGCCAGCCCGCTAGCCCCTATCTAGTAGCCTATAGTCAGTGCAGTGTACAAATCTGCTGAGAGGATACGGTATCTTTAACATTAACCAAAGCGGTATCCGTACATACATGACTGAGAGTCTCTTTGCTCCGTGACCGCCCTGATGACTAAGCAGTACTTCTATCTACATGGGTACGGATACCTGTGAGCCTATTGGGAGCCTTCTACGGTATCTATAACATCAACTAAAGCGGTACGTACATGACTGAGTCCGATCACCACCCCCTCCTCACCCCGCCATGCGTGAATTCTGCCTCCCTAGACACACTACCTACGTATGTCTATCTGTATATGTCTATCTGTATATGTCTATCTGTATATGTCTATCTGTATATGTCTATCTGTATATGTCTATCTGTATATGTCCACACAGGTAGTATCTTGGGAGTAATCAATTTGTACTCATTTCACCTCTAATGAAACTCTAGCAAGGAAAGTAGGTATGTAAATCCAACGCCACAGCGTCACTCTGGATACTTTGTCAGCCTTGCGGCCCGCCTCGTAGAGAAACAACGCAATTGTATAATGTCTCAGTGTTAGCGGCCTTCTGGCATTCCATGGCGGCCTTTTATCGTGATTCGATGTGACAATCACCCTCCACAGACCGGCGTTTCGGTCATGGTTGGGGGCCCATATAGAATCCTACGCTGCCTCCAATGAGTTGACACGCTGGCCTAGGCAGGGCTGTCACGCGGCGAGCGCCATTTGACCTGCATTCACCGCCTTCCTTCGCCCGACTTGGCTTGGCCTTCTCGCCTCAGACTGATTGGCCTCGCTGCTGCCTAAGCCATCTTCATTGCCACACCGTACCTATCTGATATCTGGCCCAAGTCTCACCAAATGTGACCCTTCGGCAACTCCCGCACGCCTCCCGTTGCTTAGGCCTACTTCCGGCCCCCGGAATCTGGGGATTACGCTACATTACGCTACTCTCGGCTTGTCTACGGTATTCGGGTCTTCCTTTTGCCCAATCCGATCTAGGCCTAGCATTCGGCCGCTGCATAGAGCAGAGCATCGTGCTGACAAGTACCTTATTCCCCACCCGGCTTCTGCTCCGCCATCCTCGCATCATGGACAACGAGAAGGCGCAACTGTTGCGCTCAGATAGCATACAGCGCCAGTTTGCTGCGATCCTCGCTGATGCCCAGAAGCAGTATGCTAGCTCTACTGGCCTTGACCTCAAAGACTACATGAACCCGCCCATGAGGTCGACCGAGGACCTCTTGAACGTCGTCAACTCTCAGAATGAACAGTTTCTTAGTTTCCGAGAGAAACGACAGACCCTGTTTCAGGTCCTCTCTACCGCGTGCAAACCGCTCGAGGTCGTCGGCGAGGCGTTGGCAGGGGCGTCGGAAGATATCTTCCCCCCTGGCCAGACCATCTTCGCCGCCGTCATGTATTTGATCAACGCCGCCAAGGATGTCTCGGCCTGCTACGACTCCATCATCGACCTCTTCGACCAGATGCAAGACTTCACAGTTAGGCTAAAGTTTTATGTCTCTCAAACAATGTCCAACGAACTCCATGACAAGATTGTCAAAATTCTAGTCACCATATTCGAGATCTTTGTCCTGGCAGCCCACGAGGTCCGGAGGGGGCGTCTCAAGTCGTACTTTAAGCGTCTGTTTGGCGCTGAGAGCAAAGTGCCTGACGCCATGAAGAAGCTGGCTTCTCTGACCGAGGGCGAAGAGCGGCTCGTCATTGCGGAGACCAGCGCTGGCGTGAAGCGCTCCCTCTCAAATCAAGAGAGACTACTCGAGATGATGTCAAGAGTAGATGTCAACGTTCAGACCTTGCGTACAGAAACTCGGGTACCCCAAACAAGGGAACAAGCCCTCTCGTCTAACCGAGACAAACTCAAGGGTATTTTACAGCCCTCTGTCTACCCACAAGACACCTATCTTGCACTCAACAGGACAAGGACACGAGGGACCTGTGACTGGATTCTTGAGGACCCCTCCCTGAAAGACTGGCTGGCTGGTAGCATCCGCTTCCTCTGGATATCAGGAAATCCCGGGACAGGAAAGTCCTATCTGACCTCTCGTCTCGTTTCGTGGGGCCAAGACTTGCTCAATAAGCAGGAAACCAACAATATGATGGGCTACTTTTTCTTCCGCCAAAACAACCCGCAATCCCGCTCCATGACGCAAGCGCTTAGAGACATCGCCTATCAGATCAGCGAGCAAGATGTTTTCTATGGCAAGCAGCTCGTACGCGAGGTCTCCACAAGTGACGACATCAAGACTATCCCCAGCGCGTTTAGGAAGTTGCTTGTTGAGCCCTGCTTGCCCGACAAATGGAAGAGGCACATCTACGTGTTAATGGATGGCTTAGACGAGGCCGACCCACGGGAAGTGAGGGAGTTTCTGTCGTTGCTGGACGATCTCAATCAACAGCCCGCGCACGGAACACGAGTACAACTTGCCTTGATTGGGCGGTCGACCCTCTCGGACGATATCATGGACTCTCTCGGTAACGATTCAACAGGTGGCCAGCAACTTCGCACTTTGCATGTAACACCCGATCGCAACAGCTCAGACATTGTGTCTTACATTATCGAGGGTGTCAACTCCGCACGAGTCTTGAGAGGTTCCACCGAAGACTTTAAGAAAAGCGTTATCGAGATTATGACGAAACAAGTGGACGGTCTCTTCATCTTGGCCAAGTTCATGCTCGCCGAACTCAACAGGATACGGCATCCAAGGAGAATCATCGAGAGCTTGAAATCCTACCCCAAAGAGATCAATGGCATGCTGACCAAGGCTGTGCTGGGTTTCAGTTCGTCCCTCACTCAAGAAGAGG